TGTGTGTGTGTGTGTGTGTGTGTGTGTGTGTGTGTGTGTGTGCGTGCGCGCGTACGTTTTCGTTGGAAAAAGCGGAAACATCGGAAGGATAGTATGGGACAAACGAGGTGGCAGATATTGCTTTTTGTGCTAAAGTGGCACATCTTCCCCATATTCCTGCATGAAATATAATAATATGTGGACTTCGACTTCATTGTTGAATAGTGCGTGGTCGGTTGAGCTTTACAATCCTAGTGTTCTAAAGTGATCTCGGGCACGAAATTGGCATGGAAGATGGAAGTGTAAAAAGTGATATATGAAACTGGCAATGGTGCCGCACGGTGCATGCCATTCAGCTTTTTCGTGTATAGAAATTTGTCATGAAACGTGTGTTCCCCAGGTGAGCCGTGCCGAGCGCCCCTTGACCTTCTCTTCGTTGTGGATGCCTCGGGCAGTCTGGGCGAGGACAACTTCAACAAAGAGCTGGCGTTTGTGGAGAAGATTATCAGTGAGTTAAATATCCCTTTTCGTAATCAGTGAGTTTATGATCTCTGTGACTAACCAGTGAGTTCTTGTCTCTGTGACTAATCAGTGAGTTTATTATCTCTGTGAGTTATCAGTGAGTTCTTGTCTCTGTGACTAATCAGTGAGTTTATTATCTCTGTGAGTTATCAGTGAGTTCATTATCTCAGTGACTAAACAATGAGTTTATTATCTCTATGACAAATCAGTGAGTGAATTGTATCTGTGACTAATCAGTGAGTTTGTTATCTCTAAGACTAATTAGTGGGTTTATTACCTCTCTGACTAATTAGAGAGTTTGTTGTCTTTGTGACTATTCTTTGAGTTTATTATCTTTCTGATGAATCAGTGAATTTATTATCTCTATGACATAGCTGATTTATTAATGAGTTCTTGTCGAGCTTTATCAGTGAGTTCATTTTATTTGTGAGGTCAGTGTCTCTGTGACACATCCTAGCTGTTTTATCAGTGAATGTGTTGTCTCAATGACAAAGATATTTTAAACATGAGTTTCTTGTTTTCGTCAGAAAGGTAGAAGTATTTTGAAATATTACTTTGTTCCTCTTTTGAAGATAGGAGCTTTTTAAAAAAAATTAGATCTCTTGAAAACGGAGGGTACACAGAGCCAGTCAAACAAAACGGAATAGCGAAAGATGCTTATAAAATTTGCCTTGTAAACTCCTCCACCCATTCACTGTCTCAAGCACCCCCCCCCCTGCACTCATCTCATATACCCCCCTACCCTTCCTCCTTATCCCTTATCCCTTATACCTCCTCCCTTCCACCCTCCCCCGAGCAGACAGCTTTGACGTAAACCCACAAGGCGCCAAGGTGGCTATGCTCACGTTCTCGACTAGAGTACAGAAACAGTTCTGTTTTAATGAGCACGCCACAAAGGATGAGGTCAACCAGGTGAAGGACAATGTCGCTATTGATGTTGTTACTGTTGTTGTTGATGTTGTTGTTGTTGTTGGTGTTGTTGTTGTTGTCGATGTTGTTGTTGTTGTTGGTGGTGGTGGTGGTGCTATTGTTGTTGTTGTTGCTGCTGCTGCTGTTGTTGTTGTTGTTATTGTTGTCGATGTTGTTGTTGCTGTTGTTGTTGAGGGTGGTGGTGGTGGTGGTGGTGGTGGTGGTGGTGGTGTATCTGTTTACAAATACAAAGGCTTCGAATGTGGCCTTCCATTCTGGTACAAAAATAAAGAACACCATACAATGTAGAATAGTTCCCGTGAAACAGACTGCTTATCTTATTCGTTTATGTAGACTGAGAGCAGACACGTAGAAAGAGGGGACTTTCATTACTTTCAAGACAAAGCAGTAGATCTAGGCCTACCAAACAAAACTGTAGGTGCGGTTTTATGATGTCAGTGTGTTGATAATTGCTACTCTCAAAAGGAAATCACACATTTTCTGTCTCGTCATAAAATAATTGCCCAATACGTTCGCGAATAAAACATTCTGAGCCAAAGCAATGATAGTACATAACAAGATGGGCCACTTCTCTCTTTGAGCCAATTAAAAAAGTGTCCTCAAAATTTGGTGGCGCCCTCTTC